CCTGAGCAAGAGCGAGACCCCTTCTCTACTATAAATAGAAAGAAATTAATTGGCCAACTAATATATATAGAAAAAATTAGCCGGGCATGGTGGCGCATGCCTGTAGTCCCAGCTACTCTGGAGGCTGAGGCAGTAGGATTGCTTGAGCCCAGGAGTCTGAGGTTGCTGTGAGCTAGGCTGACGCCATGGTACTCACTCTAGCCTGGGCAACAAAGCGAGACTGTCTCAAAAAAAAAAAAAGTATTATTATAAAAATAATTACTAAAAACAATTCCATGTATACAAGGGGTTCAACTAAAAAAGATACTGTACTTTTTTTTTAAGACAGTGTCTTGCTTTGTCACCCTGGCTAGAGTGAGTGGCATCATCATGGCTCACTACAACCTCAAACTCTTGAGCTCAAGCCATTCTCCTGCCTCAGCCTCCCGAGTAGCTGGGACTACAGGCACGTACTATCACACTAGGCTAGTTATTTTTCTTTTTGGTAGAGACAGGGTCTTGCTCAGGCTGGTCTTGAACTCCTGACCTCAAGCAATCCTCCTCCTCCGGCCTCCCAGAGTGCTAGGATTACAGGTGTGAGCCACTGTGCCTGGCCATATTGTACATTTTAAAAACTTATTTTTACTTACTTATAGAGTTTTAAATTTGGGGTTCCTCACCTAAACCACAAAACACAGAAAATTATTTGAGTGACTATTTTCTCAGTTCTTCCAAAGATGTCATGTAACTAGTACCCTTCCAGGTACATGGGGAGAAGTTATTTGTATACATTTCATGCCTAGGGCATTGAGGAACCATTTGAAAAAGGCTGCTACAAACTATAACTAATAAAGCTATAAATCTAAACATGAAAGACATGCAGCAATTGATTACATACTGCTTTTACGTAAGGGTAATGGCTTTTCCTTTCATATCACCACTGGTATTTTGTTAATGTCTTAAAATATTATTACACTTATAATTCTTTTCATCCTTTATTATTACTGATAGTAGATCATAACATTTGTGTGAATTCTGAAGCCAGATTTCCTGGGTTTGAACCTTCTAACACTAATCAGCTGTATGCGTCAGTTTTGATTCCCAGCATATTTCTAAAATGAGGATAATTGTCACAGATGATAATTTAAAGAGATATGCTCTCAAACTTTTACTTCAATTAACAGCAAACTAAGTTTACTTTCCCCCTTGCCTATGGGTATAAAGGAAAGAACCAGTGTTCTTTTTCTGCTTTAACCAAAGCAATTTATAATACTTGCACCTTTGAGAAAAGAGAGACATCAATATTACTTCGCAACAAACCAACTCTTGGTTGTTTTCAATGTTCTCCCATGATAAACAAAGCTATATCTTCATATACTTGCTCTTTTATTTTATGGGTTAAAATTTCTGAAATTTCTTGGTCAAATTATAAACCCATGTTATATTTTGATTTTTGTTGTTAAACTGCCCTCCAGAAAGATTATACAAAGGATGTAGTTGACAGCAGTGCCCACTTTTCCATATTCATTTTATTTATAGTTTAGTTTTGTTTTGCCATAAGGAAATTTTTAATGTCATTGTTGCCAGGTCCGTCAATCTTTTTTGTAATGATTTTTAGCCTTTGGGGTCATGCTTTGTTTTTGTTCTCTAAAATTATAAAGATACCTAAAATTTGCTGGTACTTTAAGATTTTAAAAATATATTTATGATTTAATATCCTTAAACTCTATTTTTAAAAAAAGATACTTGTAGTGTTTCAGTGAAGTCATTTTTATGGTAGAAAAATTTGAGGTAATTCTTAAGATTACTTTTTTAGACTGTCTTAGACAAGTAAATTTTATTTTTTTGCTTTGCTGGTTCTTTAGCAGTTTTCTGTCTTACAAGACCTGTGGTATGTACAAAACCTATTAGGCTTACTCTATTAACCAGCTGCTCTTTTGAGTACTTCTCCAGTTGTAGGCTTAAAGGCAAACTACAAAGATATATTTTTAAAAAGCTTTAAAAAAATTAGCTAGAATGCCCAAAGTTTTCTCTCAATTTTCTTTGCATTCTGGGCCTATATTATTTTGTTATATAAAGGAATATCTGACGATAGTGTTGATAATATAGAGGTGATAAGTAGAGTAAATTAAATCCCTTTTAATAAAATAACCCAACTTCGAAATTCTGTGATTACTTTTTCTAATTATGGACACCACTTTTTTATAGGTACAGGTGGAACTTGAGAACACAAATTAATGATAATCAAAATTCCACATAGCTTCTCTTTCTTATCTTTTTGTTATTGTTATTTACCTATATTATGCTTCAAAACATCTTAAAGTTCACTTCTTAGTGTATTTGGTTCTCTGTTTATGAAAGAGAGTTCTTAAAGTGAATATGGTCTAAAATGATTGAGAAAGATTTGTTGTCTCTAAAAGCAAAATGTCCAAAATCATTCTTCATTAGAAGTTACAAATTTCTTTTTATTAAGACACACATACACCTGCTTGTATCTCAGATAACTGAGAGACTGATTCAGACACCTCTGTTTTAAACTAGAATCTTAAACTCTCATCTGACAGTCTCTTATTAAATTGACAATGTTTAAGGTTTTACTGAGATATTATAAATTTAAGCCTTAACTACTCTGTGCTGTTGACTATGTATCAATTCCTTGTATTCCAGTCATAAGTCATAAAAAATTAAATATAAATAATTATAGATAGTGGTTAATATAGTACCTGGTACACAATAGACATTTGATAAATCAATTGAATTTAAGTTGTTACATTTTATAAATTGCTACTTAGTAAAACAAAAACTTGTGCTTTTATTTTAAATGGAATATTTAAATAGCTCTTAGAAAATGTTATTCTATTTTCTAGTTAAATTATCTGATCTGTTTAATAGTGTAATCTGGAATATTTTTTCACAGACTAACATGTAAAAGTCAATAAACAGACCCTTGCCACTTGTGTGAAGTGGCTATTTAACCATGAAATAAACTACTTTTATTGCCATTGCCCTGTGGATATGTTCTTTCTGGCAGTGCTGTCCATATTTGGTGGCTATGCATGGAGAGCCAGGTGGTGCTGAAAAGCATCGCACAGTGAAGCGTGGATATATCTAGGTTTGACATTTGTCATCCCTCACTGCTGAAGGGAAGGGGAAAATCTGTTTTTCCATATGTTTATGCTTTTTTTTTTTGCCTGCAGTTTTGTCCAGATGGTCTTATGAACATTGTTTACTTTGGGATGCTTTCCCAGATGTTTTGAAAACTGATGGATAAATGTGGTATAGATACATAAGTCATTTGCATATCATGGTTTTTAAAATGTCATGTGTTTTTGCAAGATTAAAATATAATTTATTTCTGAGAGTATTTTCCTAAGTGAATAATTTTTGTATATTTTATATAGTTATACTTTATTTCCTTTGATCATTCTGTTTTTATGTTAATAAGCAAAATATTATTGCAACATCTATAAGAATGTTAACTAAAAGAAATACTTTTGAGGAGTCATATTTGTTCCTGCATCTACCCAAATCTGTAGGAATCTTGCCCTACTGTCTTTTGTAATTCTTCTCATTGTACGTAAATAACTGAAGAGAATTTGGGTGGTAAAATGATGATGAGTTAATAATCAGAAGATTATCATTGCAACTCTGGTTAAATCACTTAACCTGTCAGAGACTGAGTTTTATAAATATAAAATCTGAGTTAATAGCCTTGCCTGAAAAGATGGAGTAATGCTTGGATTTAATTGCTCTTCCATTTTAAAATCTCTTAAAAATCATTATGAAACCATCTATTGGCACCAGCTATAATGAAAGTCTGCAACCTTCCTATTCTAGGCTCTAGTTGGAATCTCAGATATAAACAAGAGGCAGACTATTCTGTCTGCAAACCCAGCCAGGATCCATATCGGGGTTCCTATTTACTGTGTAGTGTTTAAGTGCTGACTGGCTTTTTTTGTTTGCTTTTCTATTCACTTGCAGCTTTGAATACTGTCTGGCCTCTTCCCCTTTTTCTTTTTTCCATGCCTGGTCTCTGTACTTCAGTAACCTGCTACATTGATTGTGCTGGTCTTTGCCTCTAAGCTCTAGTGTGGGGTTTATTTCTTATCACTTATTTTAATATCTAGAGGACAGGAAAAGAGACCTATCTTGCTAGTTTTTTTCTGCTTTAACTCAGGGTTAACTCAGGGTTTCTGGAAGTGGAAGTTAAAAACAACTCCTTAATACTGAACAACAGATAACCAATAACAACTGGTAATGTTTAAAGAATAAGCAAACATGAATAAAGGCAGAAAAAAACAGTTAAATTTTCCTAATTCCATCATTTTTTCTATTAGTTAACATTCTCTTGTAAGGAAGTTCCTCCCTCTTCTCCCCCCACCCCATTTTAGAAACCTATTATCAATTCATGAGTAATAATCTATTATAGTAATAGAGTAATAATCTATCCTATGAGTAATAATTCTATGAGTAATAATCTATTATAGTACCCTTGTTTGTTTTGATGATTAGGTTGTTCAAGATTGGACCAGTGGGAACCTGTTCAATCCAGTGCCTGTATATTTTGACTTACTTTCATCACTTTTTTTTTTTGAGCACTTTCTCATTTTCTGGCACTGCAAAGATGTTATAGGCTCGTTTTGCATCTTTGCTGCCCCACACAGAATCAGCCTATTTTTCAAGGAGTCTTTATTCCTTTTAGTGCAGAATGTATTTAGAAACTAGACCTTTTCTATTTTCTATTTTCTATTAATACTTGTTTTTTTAATGTATTCTTTTTACATCTAATTTAATTCATTTGAATTTTATTCTGTAGTGTAGTATGAGATACGGATCTATATATTAAAATGAATTTAAATCAATTGCTCCAGCAATAAAATATAAAACCAAACACATTTGTATTTCTTCCACTGATTCAAGGAGACAATCTGATTTAATTATAAATAATATATTTAAATTATGTCAAATGACAGATATTTAATTTTACATTTCATGTCAGTTATGTTTTCTCTAACTCGTAGATGCATTTTCCAGAATCAAGAAACTTCGTGAAGAAAAATGTGAAATAGATAAAATAAAGAAGGGAAATCTACCGTTTGTAAAGGGGATTACAAATTTAGGAAATACTTGCTTTTTTAATGCAATCATGCAGGTAAGGGTCATCAGAAAAGTTTGTAAAATGTAAAAGATTATTTTAATTTACATGGTTATCGACACATGTAGACTGTCAAATGACTACTAAATGTTACTCCAGAAATTTGTTTTCTTTTCTTTTAGGAACTTTAAACTATCTTTGGCCATTGTCATACATATGCCTTGTTTTCACACAGTACTTCTGATAGACCTTCTGTGTATTTTACTATGACTCTATTAGTAATGGTGACATTTATGAAATATAAAATGTACTCTATTAAATTTTTAAATATTTTTTTGAAATAGACTTTTTGCTATGTTAGATGAAATTTGAAATTTTAAGGGAGTATTCCATAAAATCAGAGGCATATTACGACTGAATCTGAAGACTTTACTTTTGCTTTCTTTTAGAACTTGACACACACTTACATTCTTACTGAACTGATGAACGAGATCAAAGAAAATAGTACAAATCTCAAGATTTTTCCTTCCTCAGACTCACAGCTGGTGAGTAACAAGTATAACTATTCAGATAATAGCTGTTATTCAGATCTGTCAATTGGGATAGTAATCAGAGGACTTTAAAATATAATTCAAAAGTATTTTATGAAAATAATCAGATTTAAACGTCTGAAATCATCACTTTAAGATATGTTATGGTTCAGACATATCATGGCTCATAATACAAAGATATTGAGGTGGCTTTTAAACAGACATACTGGAAAAAACAAAAGGGATTTGACTTTTGTTGAGCAAAATGCCTTCCCAGAATGCATTTTGTAGTTGCTGGTGACATTTTTTTTAACTTAGCATTTTTATTTTTAAAGGTAGATTAAATGTTAGGGAACATCTAAAAGTGTTTTGAAGCCTGGTTTCATGATAGGTTTTTAAGCTAGTGAGAAAAAAAGAAAGGCAACCCCTGGCATTCAAAGCTGGCCTGGCACCCACAGCTAGGCTGTGTTATTCAAATAATCTAGAATACCAGCTTCAGACTAGGTTTTCTTAAGACTGTGATAAAATGAGGCAAAGCAAGTCCACTTCATAATTTTGTCTAAATACAGACAGAAACAAGATCACCGTACCATCTAGAAAATTCCAAACATCCTCTCTCAGTCAAAATGTGAAACAAATGACTGCTACCTCTTTACCAGTTATAGCTTTATCCTTGTTTTAGTTCCCCTCCCCCCGCAACATACGATTTATTGAGATGCCCAATCATAGAATTACCCCCACTTTCTGATGGCATTTAGAGTAAACCTCTCCTTCCTTAGAACCTCCTTCAAATTACCTAGTGAAGCCCAAATCTTATTAATATATAGGTTCTCTATAACACTCTTTTACCAAGATACTCCACGTTTCTTGGTGTGTGTTCTCCCTCACCCCAGAAGGTAACAAACCTGCCTTTTAACTATAGGTGCGTTCCTGATGGACTTTGGCTGAAGGACACTAACACTAATAATGATGATTTTAGTTAGAAATTGATCCATGCGTGTATGTGTAGCTCATGATCTGGCTTTTGTAAAAAAAAATTCAAAAAGAAGAATTCTAAAAATGCTGATAGCCCAATGTGGTAATCTCAGATTGTTCTTCCCAGGAGACAGCTTTGAAAGACAATGTTGTCATTCCCCCTGCCCCCCAGTTGAAAAGATAGCCTATAAGCACACTTTCTCTTAATTCCCCTTAAAAACTTAATGGTAGATTCCAATGCCCTATTCTAAAGTGTAGTGAGATAGTTAAGACTACTTTACTAAGTAGAAGTTACTGCCTAGTCACTTGAAAAGATTCCGTACTACATGTGATTGGATGTTGAGTTTAAATATTTAACATGTGGAACTGTGTCTCAAGATTACTATATGGCAGTTAGATACTATAATTGATAACTTTAGGTTTGTGTCATTCTAAGAGAGGAATTTTCCATTTTAATTCTTAGGTTTTTAGGACATAAAGTTGGCCTGAGCTGTGAGACTGTCTTTTGAATAGGTCACTACCCTTTGAATCACCAATTTTACTTTGTCCTTTGTCTGTATGCCTTTTCTTACCTTACCGTGCTGGCTTGGACCCCCATTAACATGTTGAATAGAAGTGATGAGAGCAGGCATCCTTGCCTTAATCCCAAAAGTAGGGGGAAAACATGCAGTCTTCCACTGCTATTAAATACCAAGGTAGGTTTTTTCATAAGTGATAGGTGTTCTTTATAAGGTTAAGGACTTCTCTTTTTTTTTTCTCTTTTCTTTTCTTTCCCTTTTTTCTTCCCTCTCTTACTTCCCTCCCTTCCCTCCTTCCTTTCATTTTAAAAGACAAGGTCTCTCTCTGTTGCCCAGGCTGGTCTTGAACTCCTGGCCTCAAGCGATCCTCCTGCTTCAGCCTCCCAAAGTTCTGGGATTATAGGTGTGAGCTACCACTCCCAGTCTGACATTCCCTTTTCTATTCTTAGTTTTCTTATGAATAGATGTTGAATTTTGTCAAATGCTTTTCCTATATCTCTTAAGATGATTATATGGTTTTTCTTCTTTATCCTGTTAATGTGGTAAATTAATTTTTTCAACCTATCTTGTATTCCTATTACAATCCCCAGGTATAATGTATTCTTATATGTTGTTGGATTCAATTTGTTTATATATATATATAAAAACAAATTTATATATATATAAATATATATATATTTATATGTTTACATATATATAAATATATATATTTATATGTTTATATATATATATATCTCAACAATGTACACTGAGAAAGGCATCTTAAAAGAGGAACCTGTTTCAATTTTGTAGAATTCACTAACCTTCCTGTTTCCAGACAGCTTGTTGGCCCAGCCCACTGATCTGGCTCTGGAACATCAGTTCTGTCCTGAATTTCCTGGGTTTCTACCCTTCTGGCCCACCTTACAAAGACTTCCAGGTAGCAGAGCATGCTTGTAATTCCAGCTACTAAGGAGGCTGAGAAGGAGAATCGCTTGAGTCCAGTAGACTAGCCTAAGCAACATAGTGAGATCCTTTCTCAAACATTAAAAAAATAAAAATAAAAACTTGCAAGCCACCAGCCCCCACAAACAATGTGTTGTTTAGCAAACTTCTTATTAAACTTAAATATTCTTGGAAAGGTATATTATGAGTGTATAGCTAGAATTTTCACAAACTGAACACCTGTATAACCCAACATTTTGCTCAAGTAATGGAATGTTCCTAGCATCTGGAAGTCACCTTAGGTTACCTTCCATTTACTACTTCCCTACCCCCAAGGTAGCTACTACCCAGATTTCTAACAGAATAGATTAGTTTTGCCTATTTTAATTCTCTATATTTGGAATCATACAATATGCATTTTTGTGTTTGGCTTCTTTCTATCAACATTATATTTGTGAGTTTCATCCATGTTGCATTCTCAACAAACTTTTGTTTTCAAAGTTTAAGTGTACTTTTTAAAACTATTTTCTCACTTCCTTCTGAAGGGTTTTTACTTTGTCTAAAAATGCTTTAGTTGAGAATAAGGGAACTGCAACTTGGTAGTTGGGCTTTAAAATTGTCTTCGATTTTACTTTTGACCCTTGAGGTAATTTTCAGTTAGCATGACAGAAAACACTTAAATACTTTATTTTTTATGGCAGTTTTAGGTTTGGGGCAAAACAGAAAGCACATTCGATATTCAGAAGCTATGGAAAATTACAGGCTTTCCTTTCTGTGGTTGTAGCCAGATGGTGGATTTTTAAGGATAGTTGGTATGAAATACATATGTAACAAGTATTTCATGAATATAGGAATAAGATACCAGATTTGATAGTTGTCTTAGATGGTAATATTCTTTAATGTCCCAAGAGTATATCTAGGATCTGCTTTTTAGTCATTGTCTCTTAGAAGAGGGGGTTATTGGTGGGGATAACATTTTAGAAAACAAAAGTTGGTGGGGAAAAAAATTGTAGAATTATGTAGGTTAATCTTCATCCAATTTTAGCTCCTTTTGTCAAGCTTTATGTCTCTCCCCTTTAACAGAGGGAGATGGTATACTAATTTTTCACATAACTCCCCATTTTTTATTTTATTAGTAAAATATGCAGGGAAAAGAAAGGTGTGGAGTTTTGCTAGTTAATGTAATTTTGATTATTTGTAGAGATGTATAAATGTCAAGTAGATTAGTAATTTTACTTGTAGGAGAGCACATTAAGGGACAGTTATAAGAACCAAAGACTGGGTAAGTGTTAAAAGATTGCAAAAAAAAGAAAAAAAAGAACTAAAGACTGGTGATTTCACTCGAGCTAATAGTTGTTTTTTTTTAAGGCAGAGAATATTAAAATAACTGTTTTTCAAGGCAAGGCATATAATTCTTGTATATTCATTTTATTAATAAAAAAATGAAATTTCTTAATACACTTGAGGTAATTTAGTTGCAAAGTATTACTCTTAGATTTTTAATATTTTATTGTAAAATTGTGTATTTCTGACATAGAATTGATCTTGTTTTTAAAGGACCCATTAGTGGTGGAACTTTCAAGCCCTGGACCACTGACCTCAGCCTTGTTCCTGTTTCTTCACAGCATGAAGGGGAGTGAAAAAGGACCACTTTCTCCTAAAGTTCTTTTTAATCAGCTTTGTCAGAAGTGGGTGCATCTACACTTTTAATATAAATAATCATGAGTTACAAAATGTACTCATCACTTAACTTGAATAGTTTCACTCTTACTATAACTTTGCCATTGTTGCCTAGAGCAGGGATCCTCAAACTTTTTAAACAGGGGGCCAGTTCACTGTCCCTCAGACCGTTGGAAGGCCGGACTATAGTTTAAAAAAACTATGAACAAATTCCTGTGCACACTGCACATATCTTATTTTGAAGTAAAAAAAACAAATGGGCCATAGTTTGAGGATGCCTGGCCTAGAGTATCAAGAGAAAGAACTAACATTTCTTAGTTGCAGCTCTGTGCTTTATGAAATTATATCTCTTAATCCTCTGAAGAAGTGATCATTCATCCCCATGCCACATATAAGGAATTTTGTTTTGTTTTCCAAATATGTTGAATTTATTTGGGAATCAGCAGAGAAGATTATAACAAGACTTTAAAATCTCATTTTAATTTAAACTAGTTCTCTGTGCCATGATATTTTAAATGTAGTTCAAAATATAGATGGTTTAGTGTATGTTTCATTTGGCTGGCAAATGCTGTTTCTTCAGAGCCTGAAGACCAAAAATCCTGTGAAAAAGTCTCAGAGACATGAGTGCCTCATAGAGTTAAAAAGTTTTTAGGACATTATATGCTTTAGAAATTTGTTTCTGACTCTGCCAAAAGTAACTTTGTTTTGTATAATTTTCTTTTTGGTTTTATAAAGATTTATAAAAAAAAATTTAAATTATTAAAATAGTAGCATTCATAGATAAAAATTCAAACTCTTTTCTACCCTCACTCCTCAGAAGTAGTTATTACCTGTTTCTTACTCTTCTCAAAAGTGATTGTGCATATAGACATAAAAGCAAGTTGTTTGCAACATGCTTGTTTTGGTTAACATATCTTTATACATCTTTCTATAATAATACATGTGGATATAACTTACTCATTTTGTGTGTATCATACTTGTGGGAGTGCATCTATAGGATAAATTCTTGTGAGTATGCTAACTGGACCAAACATTATTTGAAAAGTTTTAAAACTGTATTCTCTTTTGTTTTATTGTGTTTACTTTTAAGAGAAATATATTAAGAAAAGTAATTTTAAAATTTGTATAAAGATTTAAGCCATATATATTTGGGTTTATTTATGCACCCTATGCTGTTGTATTGATTTATATGTCTATATCCCAAATTCTATACTGTCTTGATTACTGTAGCTTTATGGTAAGTCTTGCAATTGGATAGTGTGAATCTTCAAATTTTGGTCTTCTTTTTCAAACTATTCTAGGTCCTTTGCTTTTTTAAGATTAATTTTAGAATCACGTTGTCAACTGGAATTGTGTTGAATGTGTAGATCAATTTGAGGAGAATTGATATCTTGAAATGTTGACTCTTCCAATGCATGATTATATCTTTTCACTTAACTAGGCCTTTGATTTTTCTCATCAGGGTTTTATAGTTTTCAGAATACAAATCCTGCATATATTTTATTAGGGTTATTTTTTTAAGAATTTCATGTTTTTAATGATATTTATCATAAATGATATACTTAAAAAAATTCAATTTCCAGTTGTATGTTACTAATATATACAATTGATTTTGTATATTGACATTGTTTCTTGCTACCTTGCTCAACTCATTTACTAGTTTTAGTAGCTTGATGTAGATTCTTTGGGATTTCCTATGTAGACAGAGTCATTGACAAATGAAGACTGTTTTATTCCTTTCCAGTCTGTAACCTTTTATATCTTTTTTTTACCTTATAGCACTGGCAAGGACCTCCAACACAATGTTAGAATTGTGAAGTGGGTGTACTTTGCCTTATTCCTGATATTAGGGGGAGACCATTCAGTCTTTCACACATAAGTAGGAAAAAATAACTGTAGGTTTTACTTAGATACCTATTATCGGATTTAAGAAATTCCCATTTATTCTTAGTTTCTTCTGAGAGTTCCTATCAAGAATAAGTATTAAAATTTTTTTTGAGACAGAGTATTGCTCAAACTCCCAGTCTAGAGTGCAGTGGCATCATCATAGTTCACTGCAACCTCAAACTCCTGGGCTCAAGGGGATCCTCTTGCCTCAGCCTCCCGAGTAGCTGGTTACTATAGGCATGCACCACCAAGCCCAGCTAAATTTTCTACTTTTTGTAGAGATGGGGTCTTGCTGTTATGAGGCTGTTCTTGAACTCCTGACCTCAAGTTATCCTCCCACCTCAGCCTCTCAGAGTGTTAGGATTATAGGTGTGAGCCACTACACCTGGCCTTTATCCTTTAAGTTTGAAGTCTCCTTTGATATTACCATGTTTCCCCGAAAATAAGACCTGCCCATAAAATGAGCCCTAGCAGGATTTCTAAGCATTTGCACAATATAAGCCCTGCCCTGAAAATGAGACCTAGTGATGGGTGTGGCTAAGCAGCATATCTGCACAACCCATGTGGTAAAAAAGATGAGCAGCCCTTCTCATCTGCCCCATCGTGACAGCTACTATCCCAGAGGTGACCGGAAAGGTGCGGGCAGCCCCACCAACAAGGTCAACTCCCTCTGTCAGGTCCAGGCCATCCTTGTGCATGCTGCAAGCTGAGGCTTTGATGGGAAAGTTGCCTCAGTGAAGTGAGACCCCATCTCTACTAAAAGAATAGAAATTAATTGGGCAACTAAAAATATATGTAGAAAAAATTAGCCGGGCATGGTGGCACATGTCTGTAAACCCAACTACTTGAGGCAGAAGGATCGCTTGAGCCCAGGAGTTTGAGGTTGCTGTGAGCTAGGCTGATGCCACGGCACTCTAGCCTGAGCAACAGAGTGAGACTCTGACTCAAATAAATAAATAAATTACAGAAAATCTAATTGCCAAATCCTTAAAAGAAATATATTCACAGATATATCAGTTTATAGTCATATATTTTAATATAAATACTGTCTTGGCTTTTGGTTATTTAAGGTAGGAAAATATTAAACCATAGTGGCTTGGGATGAATACTGCTGTTTTTGCTAGCGTTATGACTTTGCAAATTATTTAAATAATCCCCCTGAGCCCTCATATAAGTTTGAGAAAGTAACACACCCCAACAAAGTTGTTTGAGGATTATGTGACTTATCATATATAAAACTAGTACTACTGTGCTTGATGTATAGTAGTTGCTTAATAAATGATAACAATATTGTTCTCAGTGCACACTTAAGATCACATCCTAGTTTTAACAGTAGTTACATTTTGCCTTTCTACTTAGTTGAAAAAGTAATAAATTGAATTTTTGACTCAATGTTATTTCAAAGTGATTTTATGTAAGTGTATTATATTGAAGTATATATATGAACCATGGAATGATTATTTTTTTCTTTTTTGTTTTTAAATCATAGGGCACCTCGATTTAAAGATTTACAACAACAGGACAGTCAGGAACTTCTTCATTATCTGTTGGATGCAGTAAGGACAGAAGAAACAAAGGTTAGGTTTCTTTGTTTATCACATTCTCTTTTTTAAGAAGAGGATACAAAACAGAAGGAATTTATTTCTACTATTATTTTAAAGTACAGTTAAGAAGTAATTTGATTTGGGAGGATTAAATGTATATGTTTTTCGGACTTCTATAAGATTGTTTTTTAATCCTTTTACTATAGGCCTGTTGTCCTTTATTAGTTAATGCTCTTTGACTATAAATAAAATAATTCAAACTAGCCTAATTAAAAGGGAATCCTAAATATCCTGAATGTAAAAAGCAAAACAAACAAAACCAGGGGAAAAAATCTGGGTGCAGGGAGGTATATCTGGGGATATAAAGGCAGGAAACCTGTCAGAAATCCAGAAAATACTGTTATTTTCCTAGCTTCTCTACCTCTGTAGATATTCTTCATTTATCTCTGTGCAGGCTGAGTAGTTTCTCCACTTATCTGTGAATAGTAGTACATGACTGCCATAATTTGCACGTTGCAATTCCCCATATATAAAAATTAAACTGGCTGTTTGTGATTCCCAATCCTAAATTCCTAGTAGAGAGGAACTTCATAGTCCTATGTTGGATTAGGATCCACTCAGGGATCAGTAACTTGTGGCTAGGAGAGTGGAGTCCCAGCCTCGTGGATCAGGAAAGAAGGAATAGCTTGTAGACTGGATAGATTCCCCAGTGATCATTGCAGTCCTATAGTTTAATTGATTGGCTGTTTCTTGGCTTTAATAGCAAATTCGTTAAATTCAACTTCTTTTGGGGGACAGGGTTCTAAGCAAATAGGATTATCAGAGAAAATCCAAGATATCAAAGGTCAAATACACAGCACATATCCTCCATTTTCCCCCTTTCTCACTCATAGCAGACATCACTAATCATTCATAACAGTGGTGGTGAGTCTGGATTCAGCCTCAGAAGTTTTCTGTGAGCATAGCACTGTGGGCAGCCTCTGTCAATCATAATTGGTATGATAGGTGAAAACCTGTTTTTTATTCAAGGCAAATACACTTCTTAATCTATATGGTAGTAGGTAATAAAGCAGCCAAATAGTAAGTGAAGTGCTTGTATGCTTGTGATAGGTGGTGTTAGTCAAGGTGAACCCGCTTTTCTTTTCCTTTTTTTTTTCCTTCTTTGTTTGAATTGTAACATTGCAGTGTCTCTACTCCTAATGGCCAGTTTTCAGTGAAGAGAAAGTTAGGGTTCTTATATTTTCTTATAACTTATCTTAAAAAAGAAAGATTAAGTTAATTATTATACTTCCTCCTCCTACAAAGGTGTGTGTTATAATCCCCTCCTTTAATTGGCTGTTTATTGAACTTTGTATTAAATTGATTGAATTCAGCTTTTGGAAGTATCACTCCCTTTCTGCCACATCTCTACTTTTATGTATTTTGATCATGAACCCTACCACCTTCTATTTAGATGTATGTCATTATCTGTCACCTTTCTTAGACTGTGATCTCCTTGAGGAATGGTACTGTTTATTATCTCTTGCCCATTTACCTTGTACATAATAGGTGTTCTGAGAATGTTTGTTGAATGCATTGTCTGTGCTTAACCTTAAATACAGCTGCTTTTGAGAATTTGAATTGGAAAGAAAACAAAATAATTAGTCTCTAAAATAAGTTATACTAGCTAGTTTCTTGGGGATTGACGTTATTTTAAATATGCTGTAATGTGAATAAACTGAGAAATTGGCAGGATAATAAATACCGCACTATGTTTTTACCTGTAATGTTTTGTTTTAAAAGAATCAATTAAGAGACTCATAATTAGTTTTTGAGATATTAACATAATTACCCTGAGCTTATATTTCATCACATTTTCTTAGAGCTGGGAACTGATACTAAGAGTGAAAGTTCAAACTCAAGTCTTTCTGACTCCCAAACTTAAAATCTTTCTAATTCTATACAATACTACTTATTAAAGTTTAGTTTTAATGCATGATTATCCATGATCAGTATAAATAATGTTTTTAAGCCTGCTATTTAAAATCTAACTATAATTATTTCATTATTTGGAAAAGTATTAAATCTGATTCAATAACTGGTATATTGATATTCTTGTTGAGTGGGTAGATACATGATGGCAAGGGTGGAGAGAGATTACTTTTTTTAAAAAAAGAAAAATTAGTCAAGTGCCATAGTGAGAAGAGGAGGAAAGAGTAACAGGGATTTCAATCTGTAACTGACTTCCAATCGATCGAGATAATTCACTATGGTTACACCAGCAGAAATTTGCTGTTTATGTTATGAATAGTAACTGCAAATGTGATGGCTCTGAGCCTACAGATGATATGAGTTACTTTAAGATGAACTCAGACCATCAATTGCTAGAATGATTTTTCCCCTGTGATTCACAGGAATATGTTTACTACAGAGTGGTCATGTATCATTAAATGGAATTAAAAATATGTGAATGGAATTAAGTAATGAAAATTGATTAAAAATTACCTCTTTGCATTGTTTTCCTCTGTTGCTACTACAAGTAAAACAATAAAATCTATTCCTATCACTTTTTTTTTCTGTTTCACTTCTATGATTTGTTGGCAATCTTTGTTGCAATTAAATTATTCTTTGGTCATAATGGTGCAATGGGATGCATGGTATCTTAAATACTCAGGCAGTACAGCAGGATACATTGGCTTTGAAAGTTCTTATCTTCCACTATTTGAGGGCTTTAGATGGTATAGCAAAATTAAAATGTCAAGTCTGTGGATCTATTCAGTCTTGTAGGCAAGGACAGTCATGGCAGTCAGTTACAGTGAGTATCTGGGCAGGAGCTGCATTGTCTGGCCTGGGAACTCCACAGCTGTTAACCGTGCTACCGTTGTGGTGTGTCACTGCCATGTGTTTTTTGATTGAAAAAAGGCTACAGTGTTATGTCTGCCACCAGAATCTTTTAGTAATGATTAAAAATTACTGACCTCCTTTCATATTGTTTCACTGAAGTCTTTTTATGACTATAAAGTCGAGGAATATACTCTATCTGAATACAGTGCTAAAGGTATCATTTGTGCAGAAATTGTGAAATGTTCATGTACCAAATGAAATCAAATTTACTGGAAGTTCTTTTATTTTTTTATTTTTTTTGTTTTTTTGTTTTTTTTTTTTCGACAGGATTTTGCATGCCGATGGAAGTTCTTTTATAGGCAGTCTTTTCAACTTACAAATTTTTTTCCTTATGATTTGAGCTGTCATTAAATTAATACTATATATTTATCTTAAATATATATCATTTTTATTCATTGTTGAATAGGATTATTTTAAAGGCAATATCTCAGCTAACTTAAACTGTACATTATTTGAATTCTTATTTTTGAGAGAAGTTTAAGATAAAGATTTGAAATAGTTTCATCTTGATACTGCTAATTGAGTAATGGGCTACAGTTGTTAGCAGCTCCCCAGCTGAAGTGTTTTTCTTTTAACCTAAATGGTTCAAAGCCCAACACCTAACAATGAGAAGTTGTATGTGAATCTAAACTCATTTGTTTTATTCAACTTGATGAATTACCTATTAATTAACTCTTAAACTATTTAGAGCAGAGAATATAAATTCAAGGTTGGAAAACAAAAATCTAATATTTAAAATTTAATAAAACAATTTTATTGCTTATATTCTTTTAAAGTGTGATATCGTAGCTTTTTAGATTCTTTGAAAGAGTATATCACATTTCAGAATATAGCAAGGCTCATTAAATCATCTAAAAATCATGTCTGAATTAGTAAAATGTTTGTGTAGAATAAATTTACTGACTTCCAGGCTGAGTTAGAGATCATTATCTTTAGTAACTTGAAGGGTTGTTCATAGTTATATGAAATATTTAAAGATGAAATTGGTATTTATTGGAATTTTTTACTTAAGTTCATTAAATATTTCTTGCACATGGAATTTATACCATTCTATTTTGCTTATTTTGTTCAATAAATTCTTTTTTCAAGGTGTAAGAGTCAACTTTAGATAATGTCTGAATTATATCAAGTTTCACATTGAGTCTGAATTAGAGGTTATTTCAATTTTTAATAGGTTCGGGGAAACAATTTTTGGTTTTTGATTTCCTTAGCATATATTTCAGGACAGTGCAATGTGGTATGATTTGTTTACTTTTACATCCTACTTTTAAATATTTAAGTGTTTTGAATCTTGCATAAACTTTTAAAATATACTTGAAGAGAATAATGAGCAGTTATAGGAAATATAATGTGTTAATCATAGACCAGTTAATAAATGAAACTCAGTTTCACAATTGTGGAGGGTGTTAAAAACTTATGAAACATATATCATACACAGAAGAACATATATTAATATATGTTCACAGTTTAAAGCATAATGAGAAAAATGATTTACCATTACTACTCCTCCCTGTCACCACTCCTCGAGTTAAAAAGAGAATATTATTAGTACCTGAGAAGCTACTGTTCTTTTTTAAACAGCTCTTCATCACAGGTAACCATTATTTTGACTTTTACATATTTCATTGCTTTTTCTCATGTTTTTAGAGATACCTATGCATGTTTAAATAATAAATTTAGTTTCATAAAACTAGGTAGCAGTCACGGTACTGTCATTATTGGCTGAAGGCTTCTAAAGAAGTTAAGCTGAGAGAGTCTAAGGAACATAGTAATATAGCCTGGCATTGCCTTACCTACCAGAGTTTACAAGAGCTCTTTCTGTGGAGGTCAGTGGGCAAGATCATGACAGTGTTCTCAGCCAGGCTTGCCTCAAAGCATCTGGTGGGTATAGGAGAGGTACAGGAGAGACCAGCTCTTTTAAAAGGTTACAGGCTGCTTTGTATTTTCTCCTTCTGAGTTTGTCATGTCCTACCTCATAGCTCTCAGGAGTAGGACAAAGCAGAACAATTCTGAGTGGTAGTGTGTGTCCTCTGCTGATCCAGGCAGCAGGGCATGGAGAGGAGAACAAGAACATTAGCAGCTTATTCTCCATATATTCTGTTCTCAAATTAAAAACATAGTAAAATGGCAGAGGGGATCTGGGTGTTGACAATATGTCTGACTCATAAATCTCACTGCTCCAATCTGGATTGGTACCTCCCAGAGCTGATACACAAGTGCCACTCTGGAATTCCTCCTAACCGTGCTGCTGGGAGTTCCCTTTGTCTCCCTGCTATTGCTTGTATCCCATGTTGTTGTCTTTCTTGGTTTATACTCTCTATGCGTTTGTATTTAACAACTTTTTATGACTTTGGGATATTGAGTTGTAGTTAAAAAGATATTCCCACTTCAAGGTTATAAAGGAATTTCCTTATATTTTATTCTAGTACATGTATGATTCATTTTTAGGTTTAAACCCTTGATCCATTTGGAATTTGCCTTATTCCCAGGATATTTTTTTATTCTCATGTAGCTATACTATACATATCCTATTTGTATAGTGTATTTTCCCTGCACCCTAATTATACTAAATTTTCATATGTATTTGGGTGGTTTTCTGAAATTCTCTTTGGTTCTTTTGTCTGTTTGGGTATCAGGATTACACTTTAAATTATTAATACAAGGGTTTAATGAATTTTAATAAATTTAATAGGACCAGTCACCCCTCTACTTTCCCCTAGTAGAGTTTTCATTGCTGTTCTTATTTTTCCATATGTATCTAGTTCAGAATTGATCTCTCCTTTCACCTCCCTTAAAAAAACCAAAACAACAAACTGTTGGTATTTTTACTGGGATTATATTAAATTTATAAATTTTGGGGGAAGATTGAAATGTATGTAATGCCAGGACCTACCAAAAAACATGGTATGTCTTTCCATTTGACAAGTTTTCTTTTGTGTCTTTGAGTAATTTTTTAAAGTTTTCCTCATTTAGATCTTAAATATTTAAGCTTACTCCTAGGTATTTTTTTTTTTTTAGTTACTCTTATAAATGGTATGTTTTTGGCTAGGCCAGGTGGCTCATCCCTGTAATCCTAGCACTCTGGGAGGCCGAGGCAGGAGGATTGCTTGAGCTCAGGAGTTCGAGACCAGCCTGAGCAAGAGTGAGACCCTGTCTCTACTAAAAATAGACAAATTAGCCGGGCATACTGACTTGAGCTGATAGTCCCAGCTAGTCGAGAGGCTGAGGCAGGGGGATTGCTTGAGCCCAGGAATTGGAGGCTGCAGTGAGCTATGACAATGGCGTTGCACTCTACCCAGGGTGACAGAGTGAGACTGTCTTAAACAAAAAAAAAAAAAGAAAGAAATTGAACCCCTATTCTCACTACCCTCTTTCATTAAATAAATAAATAGTATATTTTCTTCTGTGTCTTCTAACTGGTTTTGTGTATATGAACACTATTGACTTCATATTTATATTATAGTTTTTCATTTGTTGGTTTTATTGGCTGTTCCAGGTAAATAGATCATCTAAAAATAATCTTATTTTTTTTGTCATTTTGTCATTTATACCTCTGAAGTTTGTTTTTCCTTCCAAATGCATCGACTAGAACTCTGTTACGATGGTAGACAATTGTAGTGGATGGGGATATCAAGAGATTTGATCTTATAATTTTTCCCTTAAATCTGTTAATATGATGGCTTATATTAATAGATTTCCTAATATTCCTGCATTATTAGACTAAAAGCTACTTGGTCATGGTGTACTTTTAATACACTGCTGTATTCTGGTATTTTATTTAAAATTTTTTCATAAGTGATATTGGTGTGTGCTATGTGCAGTGCACTGTTAGCGTTTTTTGTTGTTTTTGTTTTTTTAATATCCCAATGTGATTCTGGGATTTTAGGTTTTTTGTTTTTTTTTTGAGACAGAGTCTCGCTTTGTTGCCTAGGCTAGAGTGAGTGCCGTGGCGTCAGCCTAGCTCACAGCAACCTCAAACTCCTGGCTCAAGCAATCCTTCTGCCTCAGTCTCCCAAGTAGCTGGGACTACAGGCATGCACCACCATCCCCGGCTAATTTTTTCTATATATATTAGTTGGCCAATTAATTTCTTTCTATTTATAGTAGAGACAGGGTCTCGCTCTTGCTCTGGCTGGTTTCGAACTCCTGACCTCGAGCAATCCACCCGCCTCGGCCTCCCAGAGAGCTAGGATTACAGGCGTGAGCCACCGCGCCCGGCTGGATTTTAGGTTTTTTAAATCAGTATTATACTTCATGACAATAATTTGGAAGTTTCCCTTTTTCTATGCCCTGGAACGTAAGTTTGGTGGCATTCCTCTGTGAAATCACTAGGGGCTGGAGCTTTTTATAAGCTGTGCTATTTAACAACGTTCTCTTTTCCCTATAATAATTGGAACATTTTCTTCTGGGGTTAATTTTAATAATTGTATTTCTCTGGAAAATTATCAGTAGTTACATGAGAGTTTAACAAAGTAGTCTATCATGGTTATAGATAATTTCTTTCTTAGTGGTTTCTCTTATTTCTTAGGTATGATATTATGCTTTTTATCCTAATCTTAAGATTAGCTAATAGTTTTATTTATCCCCTACAAGAAGAATCAGCTTTTGATTCATTTATTCTTTCTTCTACTTTTGTCTTCATTAACCCTTCTACTTTTATTCAGTTTTGATGTCCTTTTTCTAAATGTATAAGTTGGCTGCTTAATCTATTTGTTTTTATTCTTTTCAATGGATTTACATATTTAAGACTGTGAAATTTCTTCTGAACATTGGGAACTATCTTGGATTCTTATATGTTGTGCTTTTTATTATTCTCTAGGAAGTCTACAATTTGAGTTTAGTTTCTCTTTGACATAATTTTTGTTGTTGTTTTTAATAGAGATGAGGCCTTACTGTGTTGCCCAGGCTGGAGTGCAATGGCTATGCACAGGCATGGTCATAGCACACTGCAGCCTTGAACTCTCAGCCTGAGCAGTCCTCCTGCCTCAGTCTCCTGAGTACTGAGGATTTACAGGCTGGATCTACAGGTATACACCACCATGCTAGGCTCTTTGACAATTTAACAACAGAATCATGTACCGTTTTTTTTTTATTATTTTTATTGTATTTTTAAAAATTTTTTATTCTCTTTTTTTTTGCTCAGTCAGTAAAGTCATGTACCATTTTTACACCAGAAAGTCTAGTTCAGACAATAGTTTTACATATTAAAACCTGTGATCATGACTTTAAACAATATCTTTTGAAAGATAATTAACAAGATTCCCCCTCACCCTACTATTACAGTGTGAATTAGAGAGGCTAAAATTCATCCACTAATTAGGGGCCCCATACTGTAAAAGATGATCATTTATTAACTTAAATAAGTTTTTATTATTAGAATATGTAGTAGTAGTTCATTCTGAAAGTTTTCTGAGATTGAGTCTTTCCTAAAACATACACAGGAGATCCAGAAATATAAACTTTGTTATTTACTAAGAGCTGCCGAAGACATAATTATTATTGATAACTAAGTTCAAATAAAACCATAATTAATATTTAGGGGAATTCTTCTCACAATGTGTATTGATCTGGACTTTAGTCATATGTATATATAAATAAAATAATCTATATGGAGGTCATAGTGACCATCTTGATGGTTTCTTATATATGAAGAAAGCCTTAATATTTAAAAAATTTGATATGATTACTTTTTGTCCTGATTAAGGAATGTCATGTTAACGGGATGTGTGAGCCCATGCCTGTTATCCCAGTGAATTGGATGGCTGAGGTGGGAGGATTGCTTAAGCCCAGGAGTTCAAGACCAGCCTAGGCAATATAGCTAGTCTCTGTCTCTAAAAAAAACAAAACAACAAAAGTGTTTTTTAAATTAGCTGAGCATGGTGTGCCACACCTATAGTTCCAGCTACTCCAGAGGCTGAGGCAAGAAGATTGCTTGAGCCCAGAAGTTGGAGACTGCAGTGAGCTATGATTGTGCTACTGCACTATAATGTGGGTGACAGAGGGAGGCTCTATCTTTTAAAGAAAAAAAAAAGTCATTTTTGAGAGTTGGGAGAGAGGGAACGTATGGCTGCTTGCTTTTTGTAGACTGAATGATAAAAATACTTTAAACTCAAGAGAGAACCTAAACATAGGAATTTTGTACCTTACTTGGGAGGATTTGGCATTAGAGAGTTGTTCATTCATGGAATTTTAGAACTGGAAGAAAGGACATATTTTTTTAATTCAGTCATTTTATTTTCAGACTAGGGAGCTGATATCCACAGTCTACCTTGCTGTTTGAAAGTCCTTTTACTGAGAGCATGAGGCCTGAGTTAACTATTATTAGACCAGATTCTGTTAACTTTGTCTTACAGAGAATACAAGCTAGCATTCTAAAAGCATTTAACAACCCAACTACTAAAACTGCTGATGATGAAACTAGAAAGAAAGTTAAAGGTATGTTGACTCTTTAACTGTTAGAACTTTTTTCTAGAAGAAAATGTTAAAAGTTTATTTTGGGTGGGGGGGAGAACTGAGCATTATGTGAACTAATCCTCTAAAGTAGCATTTTAAAAAAGAGGGTGTACTTACTCCAGTGTCTGCAAGATACTCTGTGGGAGATAGAAGATGTTAGAATGTATGATAGAAGATGTTAGAATGTATCCATGTGAATTTATAAAAATCAAACTAATATCAAATTTACAGATTGATACTGTTGCCCATTATTATGTGAGACTTTCTAAGGGAGACTTGAAAGGTGGTTGCAAGTAGCAACCTCACTTGAAAGTTCACATTTGTCATATTATGTCATTTTGGAGTTGACTTGTGTTTGGATAAGTGGATTTATGGATGTTATCTAGTGCTCCAAAGAAATCATTTATTGAAGAGAGTACTGAGTCAAGCCTAAGTGCAAATTTGCCTACTCCTAGTGTTTGCTCGTCATCAGTCAAAATATGATGCAAAACAATGATTGATCAAAGCTAATTATTTACAGTTATCAATACTGCAGTGTGGGTTTGTGTCCTATGATATTAGCAATTTACTTTGTCTTAAGTGTATATTCTGCCTTGAGATATTAACTAAAGTTAGCATGAAGTCATTTTTAGAAGACATTTAAAAATATTATTTGTATTTTATTTTCTCTTTTCTCACTTCTATTTTTTATAGTTTTATAATATACATACTACATGTATATAATTTATAAACAAACATGCATACATTGTTATTGTGTACTCTAAAACTGTATTATAGTTAATAAGGGTTCAAGGTTTATAAAAATGTAATCTCAAGCATGCTTTGTTCTTTTATGTTGAGATAGTGCCATCTAGTGCATATTTAAAATAACAGCCCAGTTTTTCTTTCCTCTCTGGTTTTGTAATCTTTTCTATTTTCAGTCTCTTGCAGAATTTTTCTTAATGAAACATCTTAATTTACCATGGTATTTCTAAATAATTATTGTAATTAATGTTTCTTGATATGTTCAGAAATGTCTGCTCCGTTATTCAGTGCTTCAAGTAATGTTTTAAATAATTTTAAATATTATTTATATGAAACTTGAAGGTAGAAGCCCAAAAAAGACAGAACTTTGAAAGAGGGGTGAATAGGTTTGTTAATATATTATACTTTCTTCTGCATGGTTTATGATGGAAATTTTCAAATTCTTATTAGAATAGTATAATGCAGTCCCTTGTACCTATCACCCAGCTGAAACTACATTTATGTGTTTAAACTATTTTCTCCCAACCCCAGATTATTTTAGAGCAAATCATAGGCATAGTTTTCTTTGATTGTAAGTATTTCCTGAGCAGAATACTTTTAATTTGTAAAAATATAATCAAGTTCTTAACTGAGTTCTTAACTGCCTGTGTTAATTCCTTACACTATGCTTGTTTACATGTCTTTTATTACTGTTATTTTCATAGCCATGGTCCTAGTACCTGTAGTCCTGAAAGCATAATCTCCTTTCCCAATCTTCTGTCTTCTAAGTTAGACACAAGGCTTTCAGAGGTTTAATGGGAGCAGTTGAGGTGTAGTATGAATAGTGGTTATTGCTCTATTTATTTTGCCTCTTAAATTTAAGAACAGTATGTTTTTCTTGGAAACTACAGTAGTTATGACTGTATGACTACAGTAGTCATATTTCCTCTACAAAATCATAAGGAAAAGGACATTATAACTTACATATAGTAAAATATTAATATATTATTAAATGTGATATAGGATATCTGCCTTATGCAGATATCTTTTGCATAAACAGAAATTAGCCTGTTACACTGTTGGATGGATGGTTGACATGTCTTTTGCATTAAAAAGTATGATTTTTACAGCATATGGAAAAGAAGGTGTGAAAATGAACTTCATAGATCGGATCTTTATTGGTGAATTAACTAGCACGGTCATGTGTGAAGAATGTGCAAATGTAGGTACTTTGGAATTCACTTCAGCATGGAATAGATTACAGTCACATTTTATATTTTCTTTCACATGTGATCATTGGCAGTCATTTTTAAAATTTGTGACAAGATGACTAATAATTCTTGAAAGTCTTTAAAAATATTATACCCTAGACTCCTAGAAAATAAACATGATAATTATAATTTTTTTAAGTAAATGTGTTTATGTGTGTTTTTATTTTTCCTCATGACACACCTGCAAAGTGATATATGCTGAAATGTATTAGTTACTTGTTTGGATTGAATTGAGAGAGGAACCTATGTGAGGAGAGAGAGTAACACATTGCCCTAAAATGTAATACCAATATAAATGATTTAATGTAGTAACATAACTTAGAGTGATTATATCACATTTGATTTAAAGTTTGTATTTATATGACTTGTTAAAGTTTTTTTTGTGTAGACATGTCTCATCTTTGAATTGAGTGATAATTTTTATTTGGAATGCCATCTTTAACAACAACTTAACACATAAATTTTTATAGATTTTTTTAATTGCTGGGTAAAGAATATTTCTGAAAGTATGTGGCTTAGAGTATGAGAGGTTTACATTTTGTCAGATTTTAATGGTAGAAGAAAGAGTCTCTATTATGTCCATTGTCAGATTCTGGAGTAGTTTTCTGTCCTCTGTAGTGTCACAAAAGCAGGATTATAAATGACATCTCTTTCTAGCCTGTTATGTTGAAGTACAGAATGTGTAAATACAATTACTTAAATTTATAAGAATATTCAAAATAGAAGTTAATTTCTTTCTCACAAGGTAGAGAATATCTTTTAAAACAGAATTATCCTAAGGAATCTACAAAATAGCCAGACTCTCTCCTTTTTTTATGACTTTCTCTTAACATTTTATATTTTATTTATGTTATGGCACTAATTTCACCAAAAATGCTGAGCTTCTTTTTGTTAATCAGTTTTATTAAACTGTTTATTTTGAAATTACTTTAAATATTACAGGTTAGTCATATTGGCAGTGTTATAAAATTCAACTGGATTGTGTTCATTGAAGTTTTGAAATATCTCATTTTGATTACCTATGTATGTGCTGCAGTACCCAATTAAATCACTATTTGATCCAGGAACATTTTTTAACTTGAAATTTTAGGTAGCCTGGGAAGTTTGATTTCTTTGATATATTAGAATTCTAACTGAAGTTCTCAATATGTTTGCTTTTAAGATCTCCACAATGAAAGATCCTTTCATTGATATTTCACTTCCTATAATAGAAGAAAGGGTAAGGAAAAAAAACTAATGATTCTTTTGTGAAGAACATTGATTCATTTATTTAGACATTTGTTGAGGCCAGGTGCAGTGGCCCGTAATCCTAGCATTCTGGGAGGCTGAGGTGAGCGGTTCACTCGAGGTCAGGAGTTCGAGACCAGCCTGAGCAAGAGTGAGACCCGTCTCTACTAAAAATAGAAAAAATTAGCCAGTCAACTAAAAGTGAAACAAAAAATTAGCTGGGTTGGTGGCTTGTACCTGTAGTCCCAACTACTTGGGAGCCTGAGGCAGAAGGATTGCTTGAGCACAGGAGTTTGAGGTTGCTGTGAGCTAGGCTGACGCCACAACACTCACTCTAGCCTGGGCAACAAAGCAAGACTCTGTCTCAAAAAAAGACATTTGTTGAGTGTTTTATCAGATATCTGATAGTCATTTTTTATATGTAATTGAGTTTGTACAGTGTGTTTGATATTGGGGGTTTGTGTACATAAAGTATGATATAGTTTTCAAGGAATTTATTTTTTATTTTATTTTATCATATTATGGGGGTATAAATATTGTCAGGGTTACATATATTGCCCCTGCCATTCCTCCCCCCCTACCCCTGCCTTACCAAAACATCAAGCGTGTCCTACCCCCAGGTGGTGTGCATCACACCTATTTTGTAAGTGTATATCCCTCCCCTCTACCCCCCTCCCATCTGCCCACCACCAGATAAAAGTTTCTTTTTTTTTTTTCTTTTTTTGACCTTTGGATTACATTGTATATCTTTGCCTTTCCCTACTAGAGGTATTCCCTCCCCCCCCACAATGCTCGCCACAACCCTAAGATGTGTATCTCTCCCTCCCCCAAACCCTGGTGAGCCCTATTACCATTTGAGCACTATAGTTTTAATCAGTCAGTACCAATTTGATGGTGAGTAGATGTGGAGCCCATTTTCTTGATCTAGTGTCACCTCACTTAGGATAACAGGCTTAAGCTTAATCCAGGATAGCATAAACGATGCTAGTTCACTGTCATTTCTTAGAATTGAGTAGTATTCCATTGTGAGCATATACCAAATTTTAATTATCCACTCATGAATTGATGGACACTTGGGTTGTTTCCATGATCTTGCAATAGTGAATGGTGCAGATGTCTTTATAATAGAATGTCTTATGCTGTTTGTTTTCAAGGAATTTAAACGCTTGTGCTTTATATTTTAAGAAAATATATTTTAAAAGAAAATTATATTTTTATATTTCAAGTGAGTTAGAAATTAAGATTATGATATCCAGAATTTATTTACTAAAGAGCTTTTGTGTTATGTATATGGCATTTACATAGGTTTCAAAACCTTTACCTTTGGGAAGAATGAGTAAATATAAGAGTTCACAGGAGACAGATCATGATCAGTACAGTGGCACTGTTACTATAGAAAATATTGATCAACCAAGAGCCACCAAGAAGTGTTCTCCATCTAAAGATAAGGTAAGGCTGTGAGCATTTGTTAGACTTTTGTTTTTTAACACTTTTTATTAAAAATTTCAGGCATATATAAAAGTAGAGAAAATAGTGTAATAAACACTCATGTGCTCATTTCTCAGCTTCATTACTATCACCTCATGGCTAATCATGCATTAGCCATATCCCACATATTGCCTTTACCCCATCCAAGATTATTTTTGAAATAAATTCCAAATATGTAATTCAGTGTGTATCTCTAAAAGATAAATACTCTTTTAAAACATTAACCACAGTACCATTATCATACTGAAAAATATGAATAATTTTTTAATAGCACCAAGCATCCAGTCATTATTCAAATTTCTGTAATTGTCTCATGAATACTGGGTTTTTGTTTTTGCTTTCTGAGTGTTGTTTGAATTTAGGATCTAAAAAAGGTCTGTAGATTGCAATTGATTGCCACATCTCTTATATCCTTTTTAATCTATAGATTCCTTCTCCCTCTTTTTTTTTTTTGCAATTTATTTGCTGAAGAAATCAGATCCTTTTTTCAGCAGTTTCCTACATTCAGAAGTAAATCATTTTGCTATCACATTCCCATGGTGTAACAGGTTCCTCTGTCTCCTTTGTTTCCTCTTTAAGGCAGTTATATGTAGAGGCCTAATTAGGTTCGGGTTTTATTTAATTTTTAGCAAGAAAACTTTTTAAGTAGTGATGTTTACTGCTGTCAAGTAGATACACATATTATTTATCTCTTTCCATGATATTACCAGTCATTGATGACCATTCCACAGTTACTGAATTATTTTGGTCATGAAACCAGAATGATTCAGGTGTTACCAATTTCAGTACTGATTTTATAAAGATCAATAAGGTCTTGTTTTGCTTGATAGCAAAACTGTAATAAGAGTATCAAGATATTTAATTTTGACAAACTTTTTTTATAGTATTCTTGGCTTTAATTTGTTACTTACAGTATCTGTAACAAACAGAAGCTCCTTGCATCTTTTAAAATAGAAGTATAAGTATTGATTTGATAGTAAATTATTGAGTTTTTCACCTCTTTGCTAAATTATACTACTATTATCTCATTAAAAAAAAGTTTAACATGAAAAATGATAAAAAAATAATTAGATGAAAATAATATAAGCGAGAAGTAGCTGAGAAAATCTTGCCCTTAAGTTGGAAGAATGTCATCACTGACTACCTTGGAAAAGTAAATTTTCTTTTACTTGCTCCTAACAGAGGCAATAATCCAGTTAAATAAAGCATTATAAAACTAATGTGTGTGATTTCTAGCCTAAATGTAGAAAAAATACTAATTATAAAACAGAAGGTAGATACATAGAGTAAATATCCATAGGCATGTAAGGATACTTCTTAGATATATCAAAAACTAAGATAAAATGAGATGTAACAAGTGACTACCCAAAGGTCAACTATATAAAGAGTCTGTATTGTAGGCTATTCTTCCCTTCCTTCCTCACCCCACAACTTTTTTGTTGAACCATCATGCTGATTGAATAAATGTAGAAACTAGAAAGTCTCAAATTGATATCCATATTTAAAATCTTTCCTCAGTTCATTGGTTCTGAAAGAAATCCACAGGTCTAATTCACTGAGCCACTTCAACATACGTGTGTTAGTTTTATGAGCACTGATGTTAATACGAAATTGTTGAGACCTATGTTGCACCTTTCATCATTGAGGTTACATTCAGAACACAGTCTTCTTATCTACATGGAATAAGTTAGGAATGTTTTTAATTGTCCTATTTTATCAGTCAGACCACTTTCCAAAAGAATACTGATCAGTTATAGTATCTATCAATACACCTAAAAATAAATTTGAGGGAAACCCTGTATCAAAGAGATCTTACCTGGTTTTACCATTTTTTCCTACATGCTAAGTTGCTCAAGGTATTATGCATAAATATTTGAGAAAATGGGAACTTACCCTATGTAAATATTTCAAAGGATCAAATTGAGCAGATACTCAGACTTTGTAATTTTTCGAGCCTAAAACAGTTGCAAGGATATTTTTATCATGTGTTGGCATATAGTTTACTATCAGGAATTTTGGAAACACTGAAGATAGACATATTTCCTCTTTGAGGAAAAATCATTTTCATCTGTCTTATATTTTGTTGAAAAGTAGATGTTCCCCCCCTACTTATAGTGTCTGTAACAAAAACAGAAGTTTCTTTCATCTTTAAAATTATTAATAGAAGTACAAATACAGATTCAGTAGTAAGTTGCTGAGTTTTTCACCTCTTTGCTAAATTATGCTACAGTTATCTCATTAAAACCATACAAAGTTTAATATGAAGAATGATAAAGAAGCATCAGGTAAAAAAAAGATAAATGAAACCAAGATAGTAATATGAATATAAATGGAGAAAGCACTGGCAGAAAGGCAGAAGATCTGACCTTATTCAGAGTATTTAAAAAAGGAAAGAAAGAATGAAAGGAAACAGTACCCAGAAATTTTTTATTGGAAAATTGAATGAGGCAAAAAAGCATTACCAAAATGGTCCGTGAGATAGTGAGAAAAGATAACCTCCAGATTGATCTCTTCTCTGGTTTCCGCCCCTTCTCCTATTCCCTGCCACCACTTGATGCCTCACATTGCAGTCAGAGCATTATTTCTAAAATACGAAACTGGACATCTTACTCCCTGTTGCCCTAAGAATCAAGTCTGTGACATAAGTAGTTCTTCATGCATCTGGTTCATTTTTGTTGGTTCTCCTTTTCATATCTGTACTTCTATAACTTTTTTCTTTCTCTCACATATGGGCCTTTGAACTTACTGTTCTCTCTTCCAGGAACAGTCCCATTTCTCCTCTTGCACTCTCTGCTCAATTCCTGCAGATTTCTCTGATCCACTTAACTCTGGATTAGTTCTTTTTCTTTGGGTTTCTATATCACCTATATTTCTCCTATCATAACAATACTAATTGTGCCCAGCATTTGAGTTTTTAGTTGTTGTGATCACTGATTTCAATTCTTTATACCAATTATATTGAGTCAAAAGATAGATTAAGTGACGTGCCTAAGATCATATGGGTAGCCAGTAGCAGAAATGGGGATTCAAACAGGCTAAACAAGGGGCTATCTTGCTAACTGTACTGTCTCCCACTGACTTATGTCTTACCATACTTCCATCGGGATATATTGTAAGCTCTGCCATAAAATTGAGTCTGTCCTCACTACTATGTCTCAGGTGCCTAGTTCAGTGCTTGTACGTGGATGGTGTTTAGTGAGACCAGTGTGATCATTCCTATGATTGCTGCCAATAATAATAGTGAACACTTATGCTGCTTACTATGGGCCAGGCACTATTCTGTGGGCTTTTATGTATGTTGTTTCATTTAACCACCAGGACAACCCAACATAGTTGGCACTTCTACTTTTATAGGTGAAGAAACTAGAATAGTGAGATGTAAAGTAATTTCTCTAACATCATCCGGCTAGTAAGTTGCAGAGTCTGAATTTGAACACAGGCAATCTAATTCCAGAATCATATTCTTAACTTCTATCCTCTATCACCTACCTCTTTGACAGTAAGCTTTCTTCCATGCAGTTTTGATTGTCTTTTCAGAATAAACTTATTAATCTTTGGTCCTAATTTATATTACAAACTTAAAGAGAATATTTTTAGTGAGTTAAATCTATCATATATCCAATCAAGCAGAAAATAAGGATGGAAACGGGCACTTTATATTTCACTGGGAGTATTAATAGAAGGGTAAAAAGGGGATAGAATAGTCTTGTTCAAAAGTTCCAAAGACCAGCTGATCATCAGATCACATGTTTATTAAAACAGAGTCTCAAGCACAACCTCAGACACCATTAATCAGCATTTCTAAATGGTAATGCCTTTGGATATGTATTTTTATGAACAACAAATCCTTTTTGGTGATTCTGATGGTCACATGGGTTTAGAAACTATTGGATTAGAAGTTACATGATTTGAATTCTGGACACAACTATTTTATTTAAGTATATGATCTTGGGCAAGTTGTAAAAAACCTGTTGGGTCTGTATTTCCATTGGCTATTAATATTTTTATTGATACATAATATTTGTGCATATTTATAAGGGTACATGTGATTTTTTAAAATGTGTATAAAATCTGTAATGATCAAGTCAGAGTACTTAGGATATCCATCACCTCAAGCATTTATCAGATCTTTGTGTTGGGAACATTTCAAATCGTCTCTTCTAGCTATCTTATAATATATACTATATTGTTGTTAATTATAGTTGCCCTACTGTGCTACTAAATGTTAGAACTTATTTCTTCTATCTAACTGTATGTTGTACCCATTAATCTGCCTCTCTTAATTTTCTTCCTCCCATACACACACTTCCCAGCCTGAGGTAACTATCATTCTACTCTTCTACCTTCATGAGATCTGCTTTTTTAGCTCCTGCATATGAGGGAAAACATGTGATATTGATCTTTCTGTGTCTGGCTTCATATAATAAAGACTTCCAGTTCCATCCATGTTGCTGCAACTGATGGGATTTTATTCTTTGTTATGGCTGAATAGTATTCCATTGTGTATATGTGTCACATTTTCTTTTTCCATTCATCCATTGTTGTGCAATTAGGTTGATTCCATATCTTTGCTATTGTGAATGTGCTATAATAAACAAAAGGGTGCCAGTATTTCCTTATCTTTGGGTAAAAACCCAGTAGTGGGATTGCTGGATCATATGGTAGTTCTATTTTTAGTTTTTTTGAGAAATCTCCATGCTGTTTTGGTTACTATAGGCTTGTGGTATATTTTGAAGTCAGTTAGTGTGATGCCTCCCACTTTGTTCTTTTTGCTTAGTATTGCTTTGGGTATTTGGGCTCTTTTTTGGTTCGATGTGAATTTTAGATTGATTTTTCTATTCCTGTGAAAAATGTCATATATATATACACATAAATATATGTGTGTGTGTATATATATATATATATATTTTTTTTTTTTTTTTTTCCTCGAGACAGAGTCTCACTTTATTGCCCAGGCTAGAGTGCCGTAGCGTTAGCCTAGCTCACAGCAACCTCAAACTCCTGGGCTCAAGCAATCCTTCTGCTTCAGCTTCTTGAGTAGCTGGGACTACAGGCATGCTCCACCGTGCCCGGCTAATTTTTTCTATATATTTTTAGTTGTCCAGATAATTTTTTTCTGTTTATAGTAGAGACAGGGTCTCACTCTTGCTCAGGCTGGTTTCGAATTCCTGACCTTGAGCAAGCTTCCCACCTCCCAGAGTGCTAGGATTGCAGGCGTGAGGCACCACACCCGACCGTCATTGTTACTTTGACTGAGATTATATTGAATCTGTAGATTGCTTTGAGTAGTATGGTCATTTTAATTCATACTAATTCTTCTGATCCATAAACATGGGATTTTGTGTCCTTTTCAATTTCTTTCATCAGTGTTTTATAGTTTTCCTGTAGAGGTCTTTTACTACCTTGGTTAAATTTATTCCTATGTGTATGTGGTTTTTTTTTTGGTTGCTTTTATAAATGAGATTGCCTTTTCCCCCTCAGCTAGTTTACTATTGCTGTACAGAAATGCTACCAATTTCCATGTGTTGATTTTGTATCCTGTAACTTTCCTGAATTTATCAGTTCTAAGAGTTTTTTGGTGGAGTCTTTAGGCTTTTCTAAATATAAGATCATGTCATCTACAAAGAGGGACAGTTTGACTTCCTCTTTTCCCATTTGGATGCCTATTGTTTCTTTCTCTTACCTGGTTGTTCTAGCTAGGAGTTCCTGGCCATTAATATTATATACATAACAGGAAAGCTTGTTTTTAAAAAATGTACTCTATAAATTCAGCAGAATGAAACTTGCTGGCTGTTACTATAATCTTCATTATTTATCATATGCTTTCTAGTAAAACAAATATATATGGTGAAAATCAATGTTTTAGCTTCATTCAGGGAGTTAAGAATATTTGGTAAACACAAGAAGTAATGTTATTTTCCTGATTTGGAAGATGAAAAAATTGAGGCATAGGTAATTTTTACAATTGATCCCTCCTCTCCTTCTAAATAACCAAAACTGAGTATCTAATGTATATACAATTCATGATAGTCTTTTTTTTTGTCTTGTCACTTAAACCAATCTATAGGAAAAGAAATATATAACAGACCTTCATCTCTGTGGAGCCTTTATTGAAACATTTAAGGTATCTTAAATTTTTTAATTCAATTAGTTGCTGATTTCCCCTCAGATTTTAAGTTGTTTTATCTCTGTAATGCACACTATGACAAGAGTCGGAGTTGATAATACTTAGTCAAGTAGCAATTAGTAGGCAAATTAAAGAGTAGATACAAATAAAATATTTTCTTCCAGATCTGTGGTAACCAGGCAACACTGTGTCATAAGAGTTTTAAATGTGCTTTTGTTGTTTTTTAATTTATTTTTTAAAAATAGCACATTTTCAACCTTTAAAAATCAACAAGTATGGAAAGGCGTATACAATAGTTGAAAAGTCTCCCTCATGGCCCTGTTCTACAAAAGTTCTGTTCCCCTCCCCACAAATAGGTAACCATTGTTGTTAGTTTCTTGTGTAAAGGTTTACTTTTTAAGTCAGAACTATTGTATATTTTTCTATTGGTCTTTAGGTAAATTTAGGAAATGGATCTCAGAGAAATAGCATTTATTTAATAACTGGAATGTTTAAATGAGACTTATTCACATTTATTTTCAATAAAATCACAAGATTCTTTTCTCAAAACACTATCAACTTACAGAATCAAGTAATTCATAACCGAAAACGTGTAAGAAAATCGTCATCTGAAGAAGAGAAGACTGCTGTCATATACCGGAAAAGTGAAAACCTTGACATGAATGAGGATTCTTTAATGTTTGCAAGCATCAAGACTACTGAGTCACCCCTGAATGAAAGCCCTACAGATGGCAGTGAAAAAGAAGCCAGCCGTTCTGAAAGTAGTGTTGATGCTGACAGTGAGGCTTCAGAATCTGAAAGTGCTTCAGAACAGACTGGGCTGTTTAGATCCAGTAGTGGATCTGGTGTGCACACACATGGACACCTTTCCCATACATCAGCAGGTGAACTGCCATGTACCAACAACACTGACAGTGGTGATGATGGAATGGCTGAAGCTATTTCCGAACTTTATTTGGGCAGCACTATAACTGGAGATAGAGATTTTGACAGAGAAAATCGGCCACTAAATGTCTCAAATAATTTATATTTTTCAGAGGAGAAGCATTTGAGGTCTCACAGTCCCCAAAATGCTTTTCAGACCCTTTCTCAGAGCTATGTAACTACTTCTAAAGAATGTTCAGTCCAGTCCTGTCTCTACCAGTTTACATCTATGGAATTACTAATGGGGAATAATAAGCTTCTATGTGAGAATTGTACTGAGAAGAAACAAAAGAACCAAAAAGGAACAAGTTTTGCAGGTAAATCTTAACTTTTCCATTTTTTTTTTTCTTTTTGTACTAATGGATTATTTGATAGTGACTAGTGGGTTACAGATTTCAAATAGAGGAACCCATGAACCTTGTCTCCATACTTAAGCTATTTGGGCACAGAGATTGTCTTATTCATATTTGTGCCTGGGCACTAAAGACACTGACTGGGCAAAGTAGATTTTCAGTGGATTTTTGTTCAAAGTAAATTGAAGAGTGGGAAGTATATACATCTCTGCCTTGAAAATGCAAATCCATATGATCTTATTTGAGAGACCTACCTATCTGAAATCTTGCTGTAAGAAATATCCTAAAAAGGTATAATTGTATCACTAGTAAGATTAATGATGAAATTAATGTGCTTCACAAATCCCATAATCTGAAGATTTTAAATAATTATATGTCATGAAGCTAGCAGTATAATGTCTATGTTTAGTTGATCAGAGAAAAGTGGAAAAAGTGAGAAATGTCAAATAAGAAATTCTCAGTGCATCTGTAGCTTTGATGAAATGGAAAGAACACTCTGATTGTTAGTAACTAGTTGTTTTAAAATGTAGCTTTTGTTGTTATTTAGATGTGAAGCCAACAGATCAAGAGATGATTGCCATTGAAAAAATAGTTTGTTGCTGATAGTTTTCAAGAAACATGATGCTACACAGGGCCACATAATTAAGCAAAAACATGGGCAAGAACCTTTCTCTGGTTTCTGGGGGAAGGAAGGGGTAAGGCAGGGTAAGCAGGTTTAGGATTGGCAAATTTGAATAATTTAATGGCTCTGGGCTGTCTCTAGTTATCTGGTACCTGGCCCTGGAGTGATTAGGACAGGTGGATAATGGCCCAGGAGTGTAAGAGCCTTGGGAAGGAGATTGTTGGGATTTGGGCTCTGGATTGGTTTGCATATGAAAGAAGTGCTTAAGTTGTTTACTATTTCAGAAATTAGCTAGCTAGCCCTAGGATGGGCTGTCCCTCCAATGTTAACAAGGCCCTAGATGTCTAAGCATTAGAATAAAGACATGCTTAATATACTAGTAATTAAAGAAATGGCTAGATTGGAGAGGAAAGAAACATCTACATACAGTAATCCCAGTTAAATATGCAGTGGGCCACATTCAATCAAATCCTATCATAAATCCTTTCAAACAAACTCTCATTGAAATGCCCCATGGTTCTCCATGGTGTGTGTTCTCCTTCCGCTGCAATGATAATAAGTCCAACTTCTTTAACTACAGGTGTGCTTCTGGTGGTCTTCAGCTGGAGGGGGTTGACATAAATTACTACTAGTTCATCTGCTTTCCAACTTCCAAAGTTTTGTTGCAAATGGCATCTCTCTTATTCATTGTCCTTATTAAGTATGTGCCTTTAAAAAAAATCCCTGTATTTTCATTTTAGTGGAGTTTTATAAAGGAGTAGAGGAACCTTTTAATCAGAAGTCCAGTTTCTTTAACATTTTTTAAAATGTGGTATGATGTTTCTGTATAATTGTTTGCTATATTATATGGTAGATAATGTATAAAATGGAATTTTACATATACGTTTATTGCATTTTATGCAGAAAAGAAAGCAGAAGGAGTTTATACTAATGCCAGGAAACAATTGCTCATTTCTGCTGTTCCAGCTGTCCTAATCCTCCATCTTAAAAGATTCCATCAGGTAAAAGTCTTTTTAGTAGCACCATAGTCATTTTCATCATGTTCTTGCAGAGCCCTAAGTCTTATAGAATATTGTCAAGGATTGGACTTTGTTCTATACCATATATTCATACTATTTTTAATTTTTTTGTGTAAAACAGATTATCAGGAAGACTGAGAGAAAACTTAAATAAATATTTAATCTGACCTCTGTGCAAAAGACCAAGTTATAAAACCCATGAAGGAAATCTCAGAGAAAAAGAGTGAGAGCTTTGATTACATATTTGAAACATTTTAGGTGGGCTACATATGTGCAAGAAGAGATTTTTCGTCATACTTATCCCTATCCACAGAAAGGTTAAATTGAGTTCTTGATTTTTCTATAGCCAAGGTTAAGAAACTCAGTGGAACTTAAATGGCCACAAAGAGTGGAGGCAGATATGTCTTGTCCCATATCAGAAATGCCTAATGGAAGGGGTGCATTTGCAGTAACTTTTTGTGAACAAGAGAGGAACTTGCCAGATTGCAGAAGCTAATTTTGTGATGTACTAGTTATTTTATATTTGGTACTTACACCCCTATTTAGGAACAACTTACAGAAAGAATTCATGCCCTTAAAGGGAAATGTTTGTGGAGACCTCAATTCCTTCTTGTTCTCAAGCTAAATGTAATGTCAACAAAGCCTCATTCTTATTCCCAGGGGTTGGGAATTTGTAGGGAGCAGAGTCTAAGCAATGTCTCTGATTTCAGTTTTTAGTATCTCTATAAACCTTCTTGGTAGTAACTTTAGAGCTGTATGTCAGATTTCTGACAATGGGCCCTCTGGAAAAAAGAATAATAAATAAATAGAGCTGTATATCAGAAACACACACAACACTTAAAGACCAATCTCAAATTGGATAGAGATCTTTGTCATAAATATGCCAAATGATTAACGTTACAATATGTAAAGAACTCTTAAGGATCAATAAGACAAATATCAAAACCCTAATAGTAAAATGAGTTAAGAATATCAATTAGAAAAGGAAGTATAAATTCCAGGGAAGTAGGCAAAAGTCCATTCTTCCCAGCAAAAGACATGTAAAATAAAATCATAGCGAGATTCCTGTCCAAATCAACATAATGTTGCCAAGGGTGAAGTGGGATATAAGCATTCTTATTAACCAGCGGAGTAAGTATAAATTGGTAACACCTTCTAGAAAATAATTTAGTAATGAATATCAAGCACATTAATGTTTTGGATAAAAGAATTTCAGAACAAAAGTAATCACTCTTGACTAATCTCACTTCTAAGCACCTTTCTTAAGGAAATACAGAGGTACACAAAAATGTGTGGCCCATTTGTAGACCATGCCAGATGTAAGGCCTAGCTTAAGTGTCCAGTGTGCAGGATAGCAGATTTATATTTTAATGAGGAAAAGATGATATATCTACTAAAATAAAAAAAAAAGAAGACTGCATATGCCCAAATATAAGGCTGGATCCAGTCTTCCAAAGTTATCCCTTAGAAAAAGATTTATATTAAATTCCTTTCCGTAGTCTTTCCTATTGTGGAAATTCCTATTATATAATTTCTTAATAGCAAAGTACTGACTGGGGAGGATACATTAGCCTGAAATGATCTCAGACAGTTCTGGTATCAGATGCTTATAGAGGTCATCTAATGAAAAAGGCAAAGAATTTGAATATAGGTTAAGTAATTATTCCTGGGATATGACTTCATAATTTTATGTCAGATATCATGTTAAGCCTCCTAAAAGATCACTTGGAAAAACAAATCAGTAAGTGGGGTATATTTTGGCCAAAAAAAAAAAATGTTTTTTTCTCTTTAAAGAAAGGTGAGAAATTAAAAGGCAACAGATCTACAGTAAAATTATGTGTTTAGTATGCAAATGAAAGACCAGTCATTGAAGTCATGGAAACACTACATGAAAGTTAGCATCTGTTAGTTTTTGTTTATCCATACAATTCAGATTTAAGTATCTTCTCATTCCAACACTGTCCATTTGTATTTGTGGGTCTCCTTCCCAATACCTTTGATAGTTTGTTAGCTAGTTTTTATTACCATTACATAATGCAAAGCATACATTTTGAAAATGAAAACAAGAAAATGGTAGAGCTTATTTAAGAACACGAAAGTACATTTGCCTTATATTACATTTACTTTTATTGATAAAATGTTTTGAGTATTTACCTTTTTTTGTTTCAATGAATGAATATAATTGAATTTTAGAATTGAAAAGGAATCTAATCCATTTATACCCATTTTCTCCCTTGACCTAGATGAGGTTGCTTAGAATCAAGTTAACTATTAACCAGTCACTGAGGCCTAGAAAGAACATCAGGCTCCTGACTCCTTTAGTTAGAAACATTTTCATGATAGCATATGTATCAGTAGCTTAGCTTTTATCACATTGAATTAATTTTTCCATAAATATTGAAAAGCCATAGTGAAAGTAATTATTTCCTTTATTGTTCGTGGTAAAAATCCCCATGTAAATGAATAATCTCTGTGGTAACAATTTATGAAATCTACTTTTTAACTTAGTCATATGAATTTTGGACTATTCATTAGTCACGTTTTTATATATATGGAAAAAACTAACTTCTAGAAATCTTCTTTTAGTTTTAGTTAACAAATACAATGCTTGTGATTTAATTAAGTTTACTGTGTTAAAGAATGTTTTTGTTTTCTTAAGGCTGGCTTGAATCTTCGTAAAGTAAATAGACATGTAGATTTTCCACTTATGCTTGATTTAGCACCATTCTGTTCTGCTACTTGTAAGGTAAAGTACATTAAGATATTTAATTGTGTTAAATTTATATTTAATGTGTTAAAGTATACTATGTATTTATTAAGCCATGTTTTGGGGTTTGTTTTTTAATAAGCTTCTCTCTGAAAGAAAATTTTGATAGTGATTAAATCAGTAACATATGTAGAACATTTAATACACTATGACTTTTTTCTTTTGAGAGACGGAATAAAGGAAAATTAAAAAGATAATGCATGAGACATGGTGGTCATAAAAATCAAAGCTGTTTGTAAATGCTACTAGAAGCTGATAGTGCTAAGAGAAGTGAACATATTTTGTGCCCTCTCCTGTTCTTTGTGAATAATCTGTGTAATTAGTAGTAGTTTTACCATTGGTGGATTTCTGTATCTTTTGCAAATCAGTGTACTAGTGCATTGTCTTTCATGCCATTTCATGTGTATTTCCAAGAGTAGTGTACTTGTCAGCTAAGTATGTTACCTCAAAATTGCTAATACTTTAATATTTAGGTATAGAAAGCAGACTGGTATATAATTGCTTGTGTTTACATGTAAGAATTATGTAGTGAAATCAATGACTTTGTCTTCCTTGAGCGAAGCAGTTATGGAGTAACTTATTGTCCTGTTCAATAGCTACAAGGCTAGGTTTTGTGGTATGTAATAAAATGCTTATAGAACTTAATATTTTCAGTACATTGACCAGTCAAAATGAAAATCTTAAATGCAGTTTTCTGGTGAATCCAATTTATCTGCTGTAGAATACCAGTACTATCTGTAAATTATTAATACTCAGTAGTTCTAGAATTTGATAATGTGATAAATACTAATTGAAATTTAACAAGCTCTATGTTAAATTTATGAAAACACTGTATTTAAAAGGTACTTGTTATGGAGAATTTCCAACATACACTAAATTAGACAGAATAGTGCAATGAGCCTTTGGAACCCAATCCTAAAGCCTGAGATCCTGCCCTGTCCACACACTCATTCACTTCCTCTTTTATTATATTAAAGCACATATCGGGCATCATTTCATCCATAAATAGTTCATTATGTGTCTCTTTAATTTTTTTTTTTTTTTTTTTTTTTTGAGACTGAGTTTCAGTTTGTTACCTGGGTTAGAGTGCCGTGGCGTTGGCCTAGTTCACAGCAACCTCATACTCCTGGGCTCAGGCGATCCTCCTACCTCAGCCTCCTAAGTAGCTGGGACTACAGGCATGCACCACTATGCCCAGCTAATTTTTCCTATTTTTTAGTAGAGACGGGGTCTTGCTCTTGCTCAGACTGGTGTCGAACTCCTGAGCTCAAACAATCCACCTGTATCAGTCTCCCAGAGTGCTAGGATTACAGGTGTGAGCCACTATGCCTGGCCTCTTTTTTTAATTTTTAAATTTTTTTTATTTTTAGAAATAGGGTCTTACTCCATCACCCAGGGTGGGTTGCAGTGGTGCAATCATAGCTTGCTGCAGCCTGGAACTTCTGGGCTCAAGTGATCCTCCTGCCTCAGCCTCCCAAGTAGTTAGACTTACAGGCATGTCACCACACCCAGCTAATTTATTTTTCTTACAGACAGGTTCTCACTGTGTTGCCCTGGCTGGTCTCAAACTCCTGGCCTCAAGCAATCTTCCTGCCTTGGCCACCCAAAGCACTGGGATTATAGGTCTGAGCCATTACACATGGCCTTCTATCTCTAAAAGATTAAGATAGATTGTTTTTTTAAAACAAAAAAAACATAACCACAATACTATTTAATAATTCCATCATATCATCTAGTGTTCATATTTCCGATTGTCTCATAAATGTAATTTTTAAATGAATTAGAGTCCAAATAAAGACTAGATGTATTTGTATAATTTTTTAATTTTCATTTTTAAGGATTGCTTTTTAAAATTTTATTTAATAGTTATATAAAATATTTACATAGGTCCAGTGTATAAACAAGGTAAATTCAAAGAAGTCTAGCTTTTACCCATGTTCATTCTACCTTTTTCGTCCCACTCCTTATAGATAGGATTTAAAAAATTATTATTTACTTTATTATTTCTTTTAAAAAGTATAAGTAGATAAATATATATGTTTACATCTCCCCTCTTAAGTCATAGCTTACACTATGAATCCTTTTCTCTACCTATTACTAACATTATATTCTGGAGCTTATTTCATAGCAGTATTTAGAGATACTCTGCAAACCAATTTTTTTTTTTTTTTTTTTTTTTTGATACAAGAGTCTCACTCTGTTGCCCTGGCTAGAGTGCCATGGCGTCAGCCTAGCTTACAGCAACCTCAAACTCCTGGACTCAAGCGATCCTTCTGCCTCAACCTCCTGAGTAGCTGAGACTACAGGCATGTGCCACCATGCCCTGCTAATTTTTTCTGTATATATTTTTAGTTGGCCAATTAATTTCTTTCTGTTTTTAGTAGAGACAGGGTCTCACTCTTTCTCAGGCTGGTCTCAAACTCCTGACCTTGAGCAATCCACCCACCTTGGCCTCCCAGAGTGCTAGGATTACAGGCATGAACCACAGTGCCCGGCCTGCAAACCAGCATTATACTCTGTTGTGTGGATATATCACAATTTCTTCAACCATTTCCTAATTTTATGGACATGTAGGTTTATTCTAGTCTTTTGATATTGCAAATGATCCTGCAACTAATAGTCTGGTGCATGTCTTTTTATGTTTTGTTCATGTACCTGTAAGAGAGAATCCTAGAAATAGGATTGATGAATCCATGAGTAATATATATGTAACTTAGCTAGATTAAATGAAATATCCCTGCATAGGGGTTGTACACTTTGCATGCCCACATGCAGTGTGAGTACTTTTTTCCCTACAGGCTGGCCAACAGAGAATCTTGTCATGCTTTTGCAATTTTGTCAGCCTAATAGGTGTGGAAAAGTATCTCAGTATAGTTTTACAATGCATTTTTCATATTTTAAGCAGGATATACATTTACTTACTTTCCCTTGCAATAATATTTCACTAACTATTACTAATTTGGATTTTTTTTCTTTGTTTAAAAGAATGTAAGTGTGGGAGAGAAAGTTCTCTATGGTCTCTATGGCATAGTGGAACATACCGGCTCAATGAGAGCAGGTCACTACACTGCTTACGTGAAAGTGAGAACACCCTCCAGGCAATTATTGGAACATATCACTGGAAAGAAAAATGTGTCTGGTATGCCATCCTAAGTTTATTTCATTATTTAAAATTTTTTTTTTAAGTTTTAATTATTATGGGTAAATAATAGTTGCATATCTTTATAGGGTACATGTGATGTTTTGATACAGGCATACAATGTGACTTAATCAAATCTGGGGTATCCAGTACTTCAGGCATTTGTCATTTCTTTGTGTTAGAAACATTCCATTTCCATTCTTTTAGTTATTTTAAAGTATACCCTAATTTGTTGATTATAGTCACTTTGTTGTGCTGTCAAATATTGTTCATTCTATCTAATATCTAACTATATTTTTATACCCATAAACCATCCCCTCTTAATCCCCCTCTCTCTGCTACCGTTCCCAGCCTCTGGTAACCATCATTCTACTCTCTGTCTCCATGAGATCAATTGTTATTAATATTTAGCTCCCATATATGAATGAGAAACATACGAGATTTGTCTTTCTGTGCTTCGCTTATTTCACATAACATAATGTTCTCCAGTTTCATCCATGTTGTTGTAAATGGCAGGACTTCACTCTTTTTGTGGCTATATAATATTCCATTGTGTATATCTGCAGCAATTTCTTTATCCATTCATCTATTGATGGACATTTAGGTTGATTCCCAAAGCTTGGCTATTATAAATAGTGCTGCAGCAAACATGGAAGTGCAGATATCTTTCTGATATATTGAATTCTCCTCCTTTGGATGTATACCCAACAGTGGGATTGCTGGATCACATGGCAGTTCTAGTTTCAGTTTTTTGAGGAACCTCTGTACTGTTCCTGATAGTGTTTGTGCCAGTTTACATTCTTACCAACAGTATGTGAGGGTTCCCTTTTCACTACATCCTTGCCAGCATTCGTTATTGCCTGTCTTTTTCATAAAAGCCATTTTAACTGGGGTGAGATGATCTCTCATTGTAGTTTTGATTTGCAGTTCTCTAATGACTAATGATGTTGAGCATTTTTTTCAGTACCTCATGGCCATTTGTATGTCTTCTTTTGTGAAATGTCTATTCAGATCTTTTGCCCCCTTTTAATTGGATTATTTGATTTCTTCCTATTGAGTTATTGGATGGGTAGTTTGCAAATATTTTCTCCCATTCTGTGGGTTGTCTCTTCCCTTTGTTGATTGTTTCTTTGCTGTGCAGAAGCTTTTTAGCTTGATGTGATCTCATTTGTCCAATTTTGCTTTGCCCTGTGCTTCAAGGGTAGTATTACTCAAGAAATCATTGCTCAGGCAATATCTTTGAAGCATTTCCTCATGTTTTCTTTTAGAAGTTTCATAGCTTCAGATCTTAGATTTAAGTCTTTAATCCATTTTGATTTGATTTTTGTATATGGTAAGAGATAAGGGTCTAGTTTCATTCTCCTCCATATGGAGCACCATTTATTAAAGAGATTGTTCTTTCTCCACTATATGTTCTTGGCACCTTTGACGAAGACCAGTTTGCTATAATGTATGGATTTATTTCTGAGTTCTCTATTCTGTTCCATTGGCGCATGTTTTCTTATGTCAATACTATTCTGTTTTGGTTACTACAGCTCTGTAGTTTAATTTGAAGTCAAGCAATGTGATTCTTCCAGTTTTATTTTTTGCTTAGGATATCTTTGGCTATTCTAGGTCTTTTGTGGTTTCATATAAATTTTAGGATTATTTTTTCTATTTCTGTTATTGGTATTTTGATGGGGATTGCAATTTATCTATGGATTGCTTTGGGTAGTATGGACATTTTAACAATACTAATTCTTC